TAAATGCACTGTAAAAGATGCTGATAATAGGCAGTCGTGCTTTATTTTGTTTCTTATTATGCTCCATCGAGAGACAAATTCATACGTTTGCACGTGGGCCTTAGACAAGAACATTTCTAAATCTCACTCTCTAATCATCATTTGTAGAGTCAATTCCATAAAAATCGCTTTCTATATCTTTTCGCATTCCAACAGTTTTTCAATATCTCGTGCGCACTCTAGAGAGTCATTCCCGTCTTCTATTTTGGCTGTAAAAAATCTGGAATAGAAGATGGCTATATTTGGATAATCATTTAGAGAAGCTATTGGATGGTAGTTTTTCACCAAATCTCTATTCTTAGCATTTAAGAATGATTTAGAGAGTCTCTCGGAAATGCTCATTGTCTGTCAACCTCTTTGTCTCTATAGGCACTTGTGGGAGGAAGAAAATGTTCTTTATATTTCAAATTTAGGCAAATTACGGCATATTATTTTAATCAAGAAATTTACAATGATTATCGTGAAAAATATGTGCAGGTGTAATCTTGTTTCCACGCATTTCACATATGCGTTAATTAAATAAATGAACATAATGATCAAATATGCACCCTGAGGTGGACGAGAGTGGAATGCACCGACGTTGCCTCTCCCACTAGTTGACCTAGTGGGCTATTCGATATAGTCGATCACACATTGACACATGCATGGTGCACTGTAGAAATAGTTGTCGTGTAATAGTTCCCCGAAAGCTGAACAACATTTTCTCGCCAAGCTCCAAAAAACTTTTTGCAGGTGTCACAACAGATGGTCTCCTCTTCCAGGTACCTATGCGGGCAGCCATAACTAGGCGTCATCAACAAGCCCAAACGGCAAAACTCTCCCATGTCGCACCACATTTTGTCATGGCTTGGTGCAGTTGGCCCATGTGTGACACGTCACGCACACGGCTCGGCGGCGGGGCCGTGTGTGACACGCCTTCCCATCATCTCTTAATCTTAATTTTGCAACATGTGCACAAATAAACCATCCATAATAAGTCAAAAGTCAACCTCTAACTAGTTCTTCATATGGGATTACAACCTAATTGCACATAGCCTTTGATATGATGAGCATTGGAATTTTATTGATTTTAGTTGAATATAAAATGGGCCAAGCTCAATTAAACCTCACACTTCCATCTTTCAAAACCTTGTTCGCATTCACCCCGTTCTGAGCATAGGCACTAGATAGTACCGTTCGTCTGTTCCCTGAAATCCTTGTGTGATGTTTGACTTCGGCCTTGTTTAGTTCCAAAAAGTTTTTCAAAAAGTGCTACAGTAGCTATTATATCGAATCTTGTGATACGTGCATGGAGCATTAAATGTAGACGAAAAAAAAACTAATTGCACAGTTTGGTTGAAAATTGCGAGACGAACGTTTTGAACATAATTAGTCCATTATTGAATACTAATCGCCAAATAAAAACAAAAGTGCTACAGTAGCCAAATTTCTTGACCAACTAAACAAGGCCTTCGTGCAGTACTAGTTGCAGATTCAGCTCATGCATTGTATCCTGCCTCTGGTGCCATACTGCCATCTGCAGTGTTGTGGGCATGGCACGTGGGTCTCCTATCTTTTTCTTATACCAGCAGCTGCAGAGCAATCGGTGGTGACCAACTGACAACTGTTATCCCATGTTGTGTAATCTATATTTAATTATTTTGAAAAAAAAAAGAGTAACAATTGTATCTATCTTTTTAAAATAGCAAGTCATGTATCTGGAAATCTCACATGCTAGATATAGCTTACATGTGCCGCTAGCCATTCGCCTTACCCTATTGAAAAGACCGATGGAGTTTTCTGTTTGTTGGCTGGGGTTTATATTTTAGAGGTTGGTTAAATTATGAGTTTAGCCATCTATTTTTACCAACTCTGTTGAAGTTGCTCTAAGAGCATATCTTTTTTTTTATAGTTAAAGTAAGAATATATCCAGTAATGCTATCCAAGACAATCAAGCCCCCTATTTATTCATTTGGGTAGCTGCTCATTCTAATAATATCCATTTTACGATGTTTTCTCCAGCAACACTTCCTAAAACAAGCCACCCAAATGCATTCGTGGAGGTTCGCCACACGGGCAAGGCCGCAGTGCTATGCCAGGGCAGAGCCACTCCCAGCTAGGAGGTCCACCTGTGTTGGATGGAGGAAAGGCGGCAGGGTCGCCGCGCTGAGGCAGGCGGGACGTCGGTGGGCTGTCACGCTGGAGCAGGGACGCCGACGGGGTAGAGGGGAGGAGTCGGGAGCGGTCGCTGAGCTCACGCAGAGAGGAAGAATTTGGGTGGCTAAGTAGGTGACCAACATGAATGGGTACTGGGAGAGGAAAAGTAGAGGGCCAACAAGAGTAGTGGTTGTTCTCTTTTTTTGCTCTACTGCCCAAAAGTAAAGTAGATGGCCTGATGGGTAGTCCTGCTGAAGATGCTTAAGAGCTTTTTTGGAAACATAGCAATCGTCTTTGATCTATACTTTATTTCGTTTCTCATTTCCATTTCTCAATATCAGCAATTTGATTGTATACACTTCCATTGCCCAAATTGAAATATGCTTCAACTCAAAAAAAAAATTGAGAGCAAATTACGGAGGGGAGAGAATCCCCAAGTGGATAGTATTGATTAATCGTCAACAACCTCGTTTTTAAGGATACGAGGCAAAAACTTTGGCTTCAACTCAAATTTGAGTGCCACTCTTTGGTTTTCATAGGTTTATGCTGACACTACTCCTGACGACAAGTTGAAGGAAGGGATACAAGATGGATTGGATCAAGCGGAGGACGAAGTCAATGCAAAATTGAAGAGTGGAGTTCATCATTGGTCGTAGCTCTGGCCGAAACCATCAAATTGAACATTGGATCACCCAATTTTGAGTGTGGATGCAAAAAGATGGATATCTTATAATCGGAGGATGAAGTTTTTGCAAAATTTAAAATAGTATTTTTTCATCATTGGTCGTAGCTCTGGCCGAAACCATCAAATTGAACATTGGATCGCCCAATTTTGAGTGTGGATGCAAAAATATGGCGATTGGAAGAGTTCCAGACCGCACATGAAACTCCACTATAGTTATTCGAAACACACACTATTGCCCCATCATCACCGCTAGTTCCGCCGCTCGTTGGTGAATGTTGGCGGTAATAACCAGGGTTATCAATGTCTCTGTCTCCAGACTCGACCTCTTGCTCGGTTCTTTTTTTTTTCTTTCTGCAAGCAGAGTAAAAAATAAAGAGGCACAGCGCAGGTGCGCAGCCACAGGCCCACAGCCACATCCACATCCACATCCACACAACTAACGAACTGAGCGGCCCGCCGGCCCCACGCCAATCCACGGGCCACGTGGCTGTACGCCAACCGGCCCGACCAATCGCCTCGCTTCCTTCGCGGCCACAAATCATTCGCCGGGACCGGGACCGGGAACCGCCCACCGAGCCGTCGGAGCACCAGCGCACTGCACCACCACCATCGCAGGGACACACCGGCTGCCGCCGCCAGCCATGTCTCGCTGCCGCCCTGCTCCTGCGCGACTCCCTCCTCCACCACCGCGCCCTTCCTCCTCCCTCCCATCCCCGCCGCTTCTTCCAGGAGCGGCGGCGGTGGCGCCTTCTGCGCTGCTGTGGGTCGGAGCAGGCTGCGGTGCGGAGGTGGACCGAGACGCGGGCACGTGACAGTCGCGGCGGGCAGCAAGGACGACGGGAGCGGCACGGCGGAGGGGGAGAAGGGGAAGACGACGCCCCGGCGTTCAATCCGTTCGGGTTCGTGACGGACAACCCCTCCAGCCGCAGCGCCATCCAGCTGCCCGCGGTTCCTGCCGAGGACGGCAATGTCGGCCAGATGCTCTACGTAATGCCTCATGCCTCGCTTCGTCTCCTTGTCTGCTTCGTCTTCTGATTACAGAGCAGCGGACCGTATATGGGTCGTAGTGACTCGAATTGTTGCGTCCAGAGGATCGAAGACAAAGGCAGGGAGTATGGTTCGTATGTCAGAGCAGGAGAGTTTCGATGGTTCGTCAGGGAAACAGGTACTGTACTATATGTTCATCTTTCCGTTCGTTGTTAGACCGTTAAAAAGAACATTCAATAAACATTTGGATACACATTGACATGGTGCTTGGCTAGCAAGAGAAGTGAAAACAGAGCATTTTTATCTGTTGGTGTGCTGTATCACTTCATCCACTAGTTTTACTGCTGAATGAAATGCGCCAAAGGGCTGCAACCACAACCCTCATGTATAATTATAATTAACCCCTGGATAAGTAAAACTCAGGCTCGTGCAATCGTTGGTCACATGCATGTACTTGTTGATATATTGTAGGGTCACCTGATGCACGACGTGGGACTATTGTGTTCCTTCACGGAGCTCCTGCTCAATCATTTAGTTACCGCGTGGTTATGGCTCAGGTTGCTTCACTGAACCCGTATATCATTGGAATAAATACAATCTATGCGATGATCAGTCGTTAGTACTATGCATTATATTTACTCAACAATGAATAGGGTGCTGAGTCTGACAGTTTTTCTGCAACTTTTTGCTTAGCAAAATGTATATATGCTTAAGTAACTTTCCATTGTCGTATGAGACAAAATTTGATGTGGTTGGTCTATTTAGATTATCTCCTTTTCAATTTGAGTAGTTTGGAGCTATAAACGAACATATATTTTGTGTTTTGTTTACGAAAAAAAAAAAAAGATGTTTAAAATTTGATGTGGTTAGTCTATTTAGATTATCTCCTTTTCAATTTGAGTAGTTTGGAGCTATAAACGAACATGTATTTTGTGTTTTGTTTACGCAAAAAAAAAGATGTGTGCACTTTTATGCTTTACTAAAACAAACAACAACAACGACAAAATATGGTATTTGTTTCTGAGCACTGTAGTTATCGACTTCTATAAAAAACTAAGAACTCTCATGTTCATTACAACATTATTATTAATCACATTGCATTTTTTGTTTCAATCAATTATCCCATCCCCTAAGTATCTTTTGAAATTAAAAGATGGCAGATGCTGGCTACCACTGCTATGCACCTGACTGGATCGGATTTGGGTTCAGTGAAATGCCACAACCTGGATATGGATTCGACTTTAAAGGTCAGGAAAATGTGTATTAAACTAAAGGAATTTGCTAAAGACACATGTATATTGTATCATTTGTAGAGGACGAATTCCACAAGGCATTTGATGATCTTCTTGGTACTCTAAATATCACCGAGCCCTTCTTCTTAGTTGTCCAGGTACAAATGTGTAACTTTCATGAAAATCAAGGTCTATAAAAATCTTCACTTCACATATAGCATTTTCTTTCTTTTCATTGCAGGGCTTTCTTGTTGGTTCTTATGGGCTGACATGGGCACTGAATAACTCAAGCAAAGTCCTTAAGTTAGCAATCCTTAACAGTCCACTTACAGTTTCTTCTCCAGTCCCTGGATTGTTTCAGCAGCTAAAGTCAGTGATTTCTTCTCATCTTGGCTCCTACTCTTAGTAAGCACTGATTAGCTAGTACACCAGCTTTGGTCTTGCACAAACTTATAGGGCCCATAAAAATGGAATCTCCTCACCCACCCAACCTCTACTGGAACATGAAAAATGTCCACGTAATATAAAATATAAGTAACCAAACACAATCTTACTAAACGCAGCATGCATGTGCAGCAGGACAATCAACCCTAACACACTATGTACTAGTTTGGGTTGTCCTGCATAAGACCTAGTGCAAGCAAACCAATCACACCCTATATGAATACAGGCTAACAATGAGCACACCACATCAGCACTAGGACTAGTGCCAAAAAAAAGAAGAAGAAAATACATCCTAGCAAATGAGCACACCACTTGACTACATGAGCTAACACATATAATGGGTTAAACCAACAGCTCCACTAAACCTTTCATTTCGCACCACAATTTGACATGAGTTCGAAACTTGTGGGTTGGTGATGTTAATAGCCATATAATCATATGAACTTTTGCATGTAAGTTTGACTAAAATATGCATTTGCACTCTTCCATTTTGTTGTCAATTTTCGATGTTTATGGTTACAGTATGCTACTCTAAAATTTTCTTGGGGTCAAAGTTGATTATCTTATTTATTTAGGTCATGGTTTTATGTGTTAAGTCTTTGCATGTATAGTTTTGACTTGAGTACAGATGGATGTAGCATCGTGACCCTGATTCTGGTCATCATTTCTCACATATATGTTCAGTTGATGTTTGTCTTTCATTTATACATTCAACATTCTATTTATATATGTAAATTTATGGAATCTTTCAATGCAGGTGGCCACTGTTTGGTGAATTTACTTGTCAAAATGCTGTTTTGGCTGAGCGTTTCATTGAAGCAGGTAGCGCGTATGTATCTCTCTGATCTCTATCGCAGAAACACTGTTCATTATGCCTCTTTGCTTCTTGCTGTAGTGCATCTTCCATGAAAGAAGAATCAAGTTTGTCCATTATTCATATGATGCAATACTATGCCAGTCCTGTCAGATGTTGCATTTTATACTATTCATTTTTCACAATGGCTTAAAATGTTCCATTTGTCTTACATTGGTTTGGCAGATATATGCTGAAATTGGAAAAGGCTGATGTATATAGGTTACCGTATCTATCCAGTGGTGCTCCTGGATTTGGTTAGTCCATACTCCCAGGTTATTTATTTCCAGCGCTACATATATAGTCCTATGCAATTCCATCTGATATACTGTGGTGGAAACCACCTACTATAGGTGGAAACATGGAAACTAATTCAAAAAACGTATTTCGGTCGTTCAAAAAATTTTGAAACTTGGCACATTGATGGTAATACGCACTCCCATGCAAAAGTTGGAATCCAAACCCGCATTTAAAAAATTCATACGAAAAAGTTCATGTACACTAAAGGACAAAATTCATGGGTTTTGTCTTTTAGTCCACATGAACCTCATATTTGTCATTTTCGTATGATTTTTTCTAGTTTGAGTTTTCATCTCAACTTTTTCTTGTGAGTACATATTTTTATGCACTATGCATGTGCCAAGTTTCAAAAAAAAAATTTAGACGACCGAAATACATTTTTTGAATTGGTTTTCATTCTTTTCACCTAGTAACTGGTTTTCACTACATATTTTGTGGTATATTGTCCCAATCATCAAAGGAACTTCTAGAATATTGAATTAATTAGTTTTTCACTTGACTCCATGCATTGCCATGAATAATGAATGCCATCTTGCAAATCTAGACTAGGTTGCTATATATGTTATATGCGAAAATAATGTTTTCTGAATAAATACAGTAATCTATTTGCAGTATTTCTAGTTTTCACAATGCTGTAAATTTCTACAATTGTCTTGCAATTTGACTTGGTACTTGTATGTCCTTTTCTTTTAGCTTTGCTTGAAGCTGCCAGGAAGATCGATTTCCAAGATGTACTAAGTAGAATTTCGGCCGGATTTTCGTCCAACAGGTAAGTATATCCAAAGAACAAGGCATCCATATTCTATATGCAGAAGAGCATCTAGTGTAGTTAAGATAGGCTGACTATGATTTATTATGTGCAAAAGTAGTAGCGCTCAGGAGCATTAGAAAGTTCATTCTGAATAAAGCAATCGATATATACTAGTGGCGTGGACCCGTGACAATGTATATTCCTGTTCTGATACAGAAAAATGATAATCTTGTTGCAGTTGGGAAAAACCAATACTGCTTGCATGGGGAATATCTGACAAGTACTTACCGTTGTCGATAGCTGAGGAATTCAAGAAAGCTAATCCCAGCGTTGTAAAACTAGAGGCGATAGAAGGAGCTGGTCATATGCCACAAGAGGACTGGTAATTGTTTTCAGAAGCTTGATGGGTTCAGCCAATTCACGTTTACATACAGTTTCTGTGTACATCGACTAACCTTTAGACTCTGTACGTACATCCTTGACGCATCTCATATCACGTGCAGGCCGGAGAAGGTTGTGAAGGCACTGATATACTTCCTGTAAACATGGACAAAGATCATTGTACCATCTTCCGGGGAACTTGCAAAGATGCATGCTGATTGTCGTGGCTTCATTACGTCCTACTGTCTAATTTCATTGTGCCTTGGATTGCTTAGATTTGGTGGCGCGTGAGCGTGATGTTGGGGGACCCCGTTAGGTATATGTCGATGCCCTCGCCGCCCTTCCACCTCCACCCAAGGTTTCATAAACCCAACCGAGAGCTGGGCAGCTATGAATTGTTGTATTCACTATGGTGCACCAGCACCACGAGCGACACCATGACAGAACAGAACATTAGTGACAGGTCAAGATGTATATTAGAGCAACTCCAAGAGCATAGGTAAATTTGGATAGGTAAACCGGCTCTCCAAAACAACTTAGCTTGTCGAAGTATGAAAGTTCTGTAGCAGCTTTTCTAAAACCAGCTCGCTATTTGTTTTCTAACATGTCACTAGTCATCAGGCCTACATTGAAGTGCAACGGCATCATTTTGGAGCACACCGTCGAACACCTTCATGGCATGCCTTGCTTCTCGTCGAAGCGTCATGCCTCACTGCCAGAATAGGCCGCCGCCGCAGTGTGCTTGTGCGGGTCGAGCGTGAGCAGATCGATGACGTTTGTGTTCGCGACGGAGATAGCTCCATGTTTGCGACGCCATTTGCCTCCAGCTTCTCTACGCCACTACGGACGAGATGGCCGGCCGTCAAGCACCTCGTCACAGACCATCTTCCAAGGCCTGAGGCCTGAGCTAAAACGTTGCGGAAGCACCAGAGCTCCACTCGAACATGTGCACTTCCTTGGGACCGTGTTGCTTGGCGGCAGCTGATGTAGTACGCACTGCTTGCTCGTCGAAGCTCGACGTGGCCACGGAGTCGATTGTGGGGTGCAAAGAAAAGAGATTCGCCGCCCCGACATGCGCACGGGCGCGCTATGCAGTAGCGCGGCGCCGGCGGCACAGAGATGAAGTCGGCATGTGCGAAGCTGGATGCCTGGATCCCTAGGGGTGGCGTTCCGTGACGATGACGAGGTGCATCCTGTCCTGCCCATCTGCCCATTTGGCAAGCGAGGGACGCTGGCTATCTATGACGAGCGAGACTCAAGGAATAGCTCGTGGCTATTTTTACAAAGCGAGATAGATAATATGTTGGAGGCTTGTTTTACACCAAATTATCTAAATGGGTCTATACATAACGGGATGACAAGTCTCTTGGAGTTGCTCTTAGTGAGGGGGAAAACAAATGTCTATATGAATTTTGCTGTGGACAATATTAGTGACGTGTTAGCTCACATCACAGGTGTGGATAACATGTTGTTTCCCGTCTCTGTTATGCACATATTGACGAGGTCTTTATTACAAATGTCTTTGAGAAGATATATCAGGGACGTTTTAGTTTGGACTCAACGTGATGAAGAGACGCTACTCAACACAATGAAAGGTCCACCACGCCCCTAGTGGAAAAGGACCAGTGCGGTTAAGCAGCAGTAACTAATGGCATAGCCGCATAGTCAACAGGCTGATTGAACAATAGTAATAACATGGCTGATGGGACGCTGAAGCGACTTGAGTAACCTGCAACCGTGCAACGGCGAGATAGCTGCTAGGCTCAGGCTGCCACCTGTGTGTGGCTGTGTCGCCATCGTCACCACCCTGTCCTTGCTTCGCCGCATCGATGAAGCCACTCCCTCCTCACATGAGCTAGCTCTCGCCACCAGGCGCGGGCTCTCCGCTCTCTTCCGGTGCGCGCGTCCGGCGACGCAGCCGTGGACCACCGGGATTGTGCAAATTCACAATCGTCCATTCCGGCCGTGGTGTCACCGTCTCTGCACTGCCCATCGTCTTACGCATGAGGACGACATGCCACATGCATGATGCATCAATGCATGCATGGCCGTATCAGACCCATCATGTCGTGTACTTCAACTAAAACACACATCATATTCTACTTGATTCACTGCACATCATATTACGGATCTACTACTGGTAACCGGTGGCGGAGCCAGGATTTATATTCAGGGGGGCTCGGCCGTCAGGAATTATACTTAGGGGGGCCGGCTCGGTCTTTTTCATTGCAATAATTTTATTATCTAGTTGTGTTTTGTATAATTATATTATCTAAAAGATATTAATAGGTATATATGACAAGAATTTTATATAATCTTTCTCTTAATATAAATAAAAAATATTAAGTCATACTACTATTTTTTGTTGTTGTGAAACATTGTGGGGGGGGGGGGGGGCATGGCCCCTGCCAGCCCCCCCTTGGCTCCGCCAGTGCTGGTAACAGCGCCGCGGCAAACATTTTTCTACGTACTTACGAGCGTGCTCCGCGCCATACATGGGAAGAGATAGGTTATAAAAGGAGCACGAAACGCATCGCGCTCGTCAGGCCATCGTCCTACGTCTACGTTCGCGCGCGGCACGTACGTACCATTTGAACGCCGAGCGAGCAAATTAAAGCTTAGGATCGCAATAATGGCCACCACCCGCCAACAAGCCACCGCGGCCGCCACCCTCGCGCTCCTCCTCCTCTCAGTCTCCGCTGCGCCGTCCTCGTCATCGCCCGCGCTGCTGACGACGGCGTCGTCGCGCAAGGTGCTGCACTGGAAGCTGGGCTGCCCGTGGGACGCGGTCAAGTTCGGGGCCTGCGTCGGCGTGCTCGGCGCCGCGGGCCTGCAGGCCGGCGCGCAGCTCGGGAGCAAGTGCTGCGACGTCGTGCAGGGGCTCCTGGCGGCCGAGGCGGCCGCCTGCTTCTGCACCACAGTCAAGGAGACCGTGCTCGGCATCCCCACGGAGTGGGACGTCGGCGTCGGCGTCCTGGCCAGCGCCTGCAAGACGGAGCTGCCCGACGGGTTCAAGTGTGTCTGATGGCATGGCCTGGCCACGAGTGCATGCATGCATGCATCATGCTCCTGTACTAGTGCACTTGCTGCTGTCATTGTGAAACTGAAACCCCAAATGTTATTTGATTTTACTGTGCGAAGTACTATAGCATTTGCATCGTTTTGCCCTTAGCCCTGTGCAAGTGTTGCCGAATGAATAGCACGGATGACTGTAAATTTGTTTGTTCTGCATGAGATGAAAGTGTCTATGGCGCTTGCTGTAAAATGTAAAGTATATGCTTTGAATCATTTTGGGGATCTGATTGTCAGAAAGTAGGCAAAATGTTCCATCGCTCGACTGGCCCGGATTCTGTCTATTTGATCAGTAACGCCACGCCGCCGTCACATGACATGCAGCAGACGGGTTGCTCGTAGGGCTTGTCAGGATCACGAGAGGGGGCTACTTCCCTGCTGGTTTTAGCATGTTATGATCAACGTATGATATATGATATAATGCAGGCATCAGGGAACAGTTACCCGACCAAGATCTACCATCTATGCATGGAAAGTTTTCGTGATTGTTCTGGTCAGATCTAGTTCTGTTAGACATCCGATGCAACCACTAGGAAACAAGGACTAGCAGCTAGGCTGCATGCATGACAGCATGAGCTTGGCAACCGAGTTCAGCTAGACTGGTTTCGTGGACTACAGGGTATGCATGCATGCATCCGGACATACTGCTCCAATCCGGTCAAACATAATTTGGCATGCTTTGCCTTTTATTATCTCCTGTAGGTTTTTTTTGCAATTTTGATCGGTATTTTTTTAGAAAAATAGCAAAAAAAAAAGCATTTTTACAATTTTTTTGCGAGTATATTTATACAAATTTTGCTATACTACTGTTCCCTTATAACATTCTATAGTGAGATTGTGAAAGTAATTTTGATATTTTAAGACATATAATTTACACATAGTATGTATGATTTAATGATTTAAAATTGAACATTGAAAGTTTTTGTCGGTCAAAGTTTGAATTTTTTTTGGCTAAATCCTTATAAAAAACGTGAATTAACAAGAGGAGGGAATATTAAGAAGAAGAGTACTTGTAAGTTGTAATCTTATCAAGCCCTTTTGTTTAACTCTCTGAAAACAAAAAAGAAGTGTCCAATAGATCGAACAAAGTTCCCTGCATTGCGAAACAAAGAAATGATGAGGCTACTGACAAGAATGAACGAAGTTTCACCGTCCTCTCCTCTCTTGTGTTCTGAACCAAGCTTTCAAGAATCTATCTGTGGGTTGGGGTTGCCAACTTCACAACAACTTACCCTTGGGGAAACAATGATCAATGAAACATGTAGCGATCGTGGGCAAACGACGAGCACTGATATACGCAGAATCACGCACCGCCAGCGCTACGAACACGAACAGAGGCACAGAGCAGCGCAACGCGGAAGGGGACGATGCGGTGAGCAGTACGTTTCAATCATGCCCTCGGACGCGACCAAGCGAGTGTCACACACCGCTGAGCTTGCTTTGGCGCCATGGCAACAAGCCAAGGCGTCCAGTCCAGCACTGCCAATCCCACTGGCTCTCCACGTGAGCTGTTGCTGCGCCTGCGCTGCATGCCGCCATTGTCACTGCACCAATGCCCTGGCGCGCGCAATAATGCCCCGGACCCATGCCGCCAGCGCCCGCCTATAAAAACGGCGAGCTCCGACGACGCCTCCCGCCACACACAGTACGTACGAGCACCTAGCAGCAGCAGCAGCAATGGAGTCCACCAAGCTCTCCGCGCTGCTGGTGCTCGCCATGCTCGCGCTCTCCTCGTCCCCACTCACTCTCGCGTGGGAGAAGGCGGAACCGGAGTGCCACTCGTGCGAGTCCGGCTCACCACCCTCGACCGGCGTCCCCCTGCCCCCTATCAGCATACCGTCAGTCCCCCTGCCGCCTGTCAGTATACCGTCGGTCCCCATCCCGAAGCTCCCCGTCCCGCCGGTCACCTTACCCCCCGTCAGCGGGCTGCCGCCGGTCACCGGACTGCCACCGGTCACCCTCCCGCCCATTCCGATCATCGGAGGAAGCCCGCCGAAGAAGGGCCACCGGAAGGCGTGCCCGCCGCCTCCGTCTCCCCCGACGCCGACGCCGACGCCCACGCCCACGCCGTCCTCGGACACGTGCCCCATCGACGCGCTGAAGCTCGGCGCGTGCGTGGACGTTCTCGGCAACGAGGTGCACATCGGCGACGCCAACGTCAAGTGCTGCCCGCTCGTGAAGGGCATCGCCGGGCTCTCCGCGGCGGCGTGCCTGTGCACCGCCATCAAGGCCAAGGTGCTGGACATCTCCGTCTACGTGCCCATCGCGCTGGAGGTGCTCGTCAACTGCGGCTGCGCCGTCCCGCCAGGCTACAAATGCACTTAAACGAGTCCATTCCATTCCATTTCCATCCATCACGCGTGCACAGCAACGTCTCCGATCCTTTTTGCCTTTTGCCCTCCCGAATGCAAAGTTTGAAAGGCTCGTCGACGGATTTGCGTGGAAGCCGCCGCTCGCCTCCAGGTTGTTCAGCTAGTGCATTCTTCCTTATTTCATTTGATTTGCTGTTCTTGTTGCATGACTGTATATGCATCTACTATCTCCTCAAATGTCACTTGTACTTTGTGTGATCTTGTATCAAACTATTTTTTTCGGATTCGACTATTGTTTGAAGTGTAAAATTAAGGGGCATTGTCACACATCGTTTATTGAAATCTCCAGAACTGGGAACATGTCAGAAGCAAACTCGCCTGATGATTCAATTCAGAAGTCAGAACACCGCTATAAGCCATCGCCTTGTTCGCTTGGCTTATAAAGCGTACTTTTTCAGCCAACTAACCGTATTTTTCTCTCACAGCAAATCAATCATCAGTACTTTCAGCCATGGCTTATCAGCCATGTGCTTCTGAACTTTCATTTCCAGCAAACAAACATGTCAGAGCCCCCACATAACTGTAAGGATGGGGATGGTGCTCCAATGGGTATCCTCTGTTCTCCTCTAGTTCAACTCAAAGAACTAATTGGACACCTCATTTTTGTATATATAGTTCATTAAGTTGAATTAGAGAAGAACCACGGTTCGCTCCACCCCCATCCTTACGTAACTGTGTATGCAAGAGACTACTTCTCGACATAATGTTAAGAAATTTCTAAGCATCATATAATCCACAAGGGTAGCATTATTTATGTACAAATCGACTGTACTAAGTCGAACTCCCCAATTGAGACCATCTGTGTTTCTCCTAAAGCTGGAGATACCTATCGAGCACTGTAGATCTTTGCACACTAAGAACTAGGAGCAGGAGCAGCCTCCAGTAAGCTCAAGTACTCTGCAATTGCCTGTCCTTCGTTACTGACATCAATATCGTAGTCATCCAAGGCATCCCCCGTCAGTTCATTGGCAAGCTCACTTTCCATCGACGCATCCCTGGCTGGAACTGGATGAGAGTTTGCGCCTTCGTCTTCATCATCGGCAGCTACTTCATCAATCATAATTTCATCTTGGTTCGCAGTTTCTTCATTGTTCATCGGAGGGGCATCTCCATCTGCAGCATGTGGAGGGGCATCTCCATCTGCAGCATGTGGAGGAGCATCTCCTCCATCCGCAGGATGTGGTGGAGCATCTCCATCAGCAGGATGTGGTGCATCATTGACAGAAGTCTGAGAGCTGTTGATTGCTGGAGCAGCCCTGGCAACAGCTGCCCTAGAGCTCGATGATCCTGCACAATTTTGAAAGGGAGTGAAATTTCATTACTCCAATTGATTTGAGGCCACACAATTTTGAAGAGATCTGTGATAACCCATACATACCACGAGATGCCCGGCTTCTCTTTGCCTGAATTTTACTCTGCAATTAAACATAATGTGTTAGCAACTGTGGAGTAGCTTCTTGAGTAAAAGAAAACAAAGGGGGTGCAGAGAAAGGCATACTTGTAGGATGCAGTTTTGTTCAGGATTTGTCAAAAGGTCTAATGCTTTGTCAGCATCATTTTCATTTATGCGCAGTGCTTCTGCAGCAAGATACTTCTCAAATCTTGAAGATTGAAACAACCAGTCAGTAATAAACAGGAAATACAGGCAGTAAAAATCAACGGCTATGTAAAATTAGCATCACCATGCACAAACAACACAAATGTATTTTGCCTTTGTATCTGACATATAAGTACTCAATTTCTAAAAGGTCTGTGGCAGCCAGATAGGTGTCCTAAAACTATTTAAAGTTTAAACACTTCTAGTCTTCTAAGGTTGGTCTACAATGTCTTTCACTAGATCAGATGAAACATGAAACAAATGGAAAACTAAGGTGATGTTGCAGTAACTAAAATAGAGTTGTAATAGAAACCCTTCTGGCAAAAGAAACAATAATAGCTATTCTAAGGTCCTTAGCCAACAGTAGCTATGTGCCAATAAAATAAAATATTACTACCTTTCATCACAAACATTTGGTCAATAACATTCCTCTGTAACAACTACTACTTCAATTTGACTCATTGTTTGCAATCAACCAAATGTTGAATAAAATTAAGCCCATACACAATATGATTGAAGAGCTGACATTGTTTTGGGTGGGTGTGTCAAGCATTCTGGTGGCCTTTTCAAACACTTCTATTTTGTTATGTCAGATTTACTAGCTGAATCAGGGCTCATGTTTGGCCCTTATACATCCTGTTTTTTCAGGTTTAGGCCCCAATCCAGCTGGCAGTTTACTAGAACAGCACATGGAAATACAATTAAAAACAACTCTTGAGAAAAGACCAACATTCTTACCCGATAGCAGTCAAGCCTTTCAGCTTCTGCATGTCAACTGCCTTGTTCATGGGAGTTTTACCATATGCCATTTGTTCCCTAGGATAACACCAAGAAAGTTCACTACTCAGCTAAAAAAAAAGATCAAGAAAGAGGGGAAGGGGTAGACTTCATGATGAGGAGCTCACAGAATCTCTCTTTGTCTCACTCGGTCCTCCTCTCTTCTACGAATTTTCTTTTCACGCTCCTCACATAAGAGTTCAACTGATGATTGAATATCATAGCCAGTCATCTTCAATGCTCTTTTTGCAGATCGTGCTTCATAGCCCATATCCATTAACATCGATATAGCTTCCTCTGGTACTTGAAGCTAAAGTTCATATCCGTTTAACAAAATTTAAGGGTGAGACTGATTTGTTGACATGAAAAGATGCTAAAGCACTGGAGGTTCAGAGGAATAGTATGCTATAAGAAGAAAATAAAACATCTTTCTACAGAAATAATATGCTATAAGAAGAAAATAAAACATCTTTCTACAGAATGTACCTGCAGGTATTTAGCATGGGCAGAAGTGAGAGATTCACGCGCCTTTTCAACATGACCATTATGGTATGCCACCACTCCTTCCAAAAGCTCCAGCCTTACATAACTATTACGCAACAAAGGAAAAAAAATGTATGCTAGGCGTCAACACAAGTGAACTGTAGAATGCTACAAAAGGAAAGTACCCACAAAGAACCAAGACAACAACAAGCTGAATAAACTCCCAGTTAGTTTCTTAAAAAGCATATATATCTATATTTCTATAGCTCCTTCCCTCTACTGGTCTTTTTACCCTATTAAAGAAGATGCTGGGACCTTCCATTCACACACACAGAAATTTTTTTCCACAAATGTTCCCATACATTTGTGTCTAAGTAGCAATTCAGACTTTTAATTGAAAATGAACACATTCAGTAATAAAAAAAAATATAATACAGTAAGAGGCAAAATAAAAGTAAGGGTCTCACATAGCAAGATCAGCTTGCCGGCCAGCCTGGAGTATTCTGAAGCGAGTAGAATCTTTCCCATGAGAACGTTCAAAACCTAACCGTGCTTTTTCTAGGCGAGTCCCTGCGACCTCTAAGCATGATACATCACGAAGCACAAAATAACACCATACTATATCTAGTTGAAGCATTGGCACATTATCAACTTTCTGCAGAACATGTACACCAAGTATAAGTAAAACTTTCAGTATGTTATTGATACAAGTGGGAATATTCTTGAATATTCAAGTTACCTCAATAAGCTTTGGGTCACAAAGGGAGAAAGCTTCCTGTTACGGCAACAAAGAAAATGTCAATCCATATCAGTTCGAAAGCTTTTTTTTTTTTTTTTTTGCGACGATATCAGTTCGAAAGCTATGCACGTTTCTTTTAATGGTAAGATTACACTACAGTCACATAAGCTAGATAGGAAGCATGGTAGGACACTAAACAGCAGTGTACCTCAGCCATTGTTAACACATCTAGTGCTTCCTTGTACATTCCCCTCTTCATATGAGTTTTAGCTTTTTGGTGAAGCATTAGAGCCATCGTCAAAGCCCTAAGGTAAGATTGATGATGATGGTGTTAAATAGTAAACATCATATGAGTCATCATAAATAGAAGATTTAGTCGATTACTTTTTATCATCTACAGATCCAAACATCACTTTCTGGCCACTTTGATCCTCAAGATCTAAGTTGTAGTCTTCTTCCGCAAGGTAGGAGCCATCTGTGTGCCTTTGAGACAATGTTTTTGCAGCTTCCCTACAAAATCATCGTATTCGGTGGTCATCCAGTGAAACAACTTTGTGAGTTCCTAGTGAGTTCAATGCAACTTCAAGACTAGTCCTGGTTACATGTCGTTCCAAGTATACAATTTAATCAAACAAACTATCAGCCTTCTTTCAGGTTCAGTACGAGCCCTATCATGCCTCATCTAGTAGTTGATTAAAGTACTGAATTCCATATTATGAAGTATGCACTATGATCTCCATTAGATCTTTTCCAGATTATATGGTTCTTCTCAACTTTTAATTTTCCATATTATGAATTATGCATCATGATCTCCATTACTTCTTTTCCAGATTATATGGTTCTTCCCAATTTTTGTACATCAAGACTGAATTAACAATTTCTTACTACTGCATTGAATACCAACTAGGAACAACTTCGAATCTGTTAGGTTTTGCAGTTACAACTACGTAATTAGAGCAGTAAACGCATCAATCAAGTTATTAATTTCACAATGCCAAAGTGCAATACTTTCAGCACCAGACAAAGGGAACGGAAACCTAAGTACCTAATAACAATCCCAAAAAGAAAACAAAGAACCCTAAGAGTTCTGATCCTTACCACAGCCTGACAAGCCTTGCAGCGTGCTCCTCCTCAGCCTTCGCCTTGGCGGCCTCGGCTGCGATTTCTTTGGCGCGATCGGGGGATGTAAGGGAGGAGAGCACCTTGGCGTTCGCCTTAAGTCCGGCCTCCCGCAGCGAGGCGGGGGGTTCATCCTTGAGCACGCGGCCGCCGAAGATGAGGCCGACGCACTCAGGCCCCACGCCGTCCCCAACCCGCCGCGCCACCTCCGCCCGCAGCATCGGCACCGTCCAGGCGCCCAGGTCCACCTCCAGGGCGCCGGCCCACTTGCCGACCACCCGAATTCGCTCCGCCGCCGGCGCGGGGACCTCTTCTGACGCCATCGGGATGATCGGAGTTGGAGTTGGGGCTTGGCTCGACTGTTGGGGACTTGGGTGCGTCGATGGTTTTTCCGTGGCTTTTGTAAGGACTCTGGGAATTTGGGTCCGGCGAGGCTTCTTATCAGAGTCAAACTTTGTTTTTCTTTTTTTTTAGATGGGATAGAGGCTAACTCTTTTTTTTTTTTTTGAAACTGACAGAGGCTAACTTGGGCAGGAAGAAGAAGATGAGGAAGGAGAACCGAAGGAGCAGCCTAACCGGGCGAGTTCAGAGTTCGGGAGAGTTCGGTTTGGCTACCGTTTCTGTACCCCCTCGACCTTGTCTCTTATAGGCCTTCAATGGGTGTTTAGATCCGATTAGTCACCAACTCAACATTATGAATTAAGAGTGTGTTTGGATCCCTACCTTTAAAGTTTAGAGCTCTAAAAATTTTAGAGCACTTTAGATCACTTTTAAGGTTTAAAGCTCTAACGTGAGGTGGGCTAAAGTTTAGACCTAATTTTATACCATCTGTTTGGAGCTTTAGCTCTAAAGTTTATATGTCTAAAGTTTAGAAGAGAGAATCCAAATAGGCCCTAAGCTAATCGGCCTTTAATCACCACTTAGACTATGTTTAATTCTACAAATTGGTATCCAAAATCTAGGGCTAATTGTTAATCATGGGATCTAAACACCATTTTATATTATCAATTAGTTGATTATACAAGCGATTATGAGCCGGTTCCAATTTTATTAAGCCAACCCAATATTTTCTAGCCGCACTGACCTCCTCCTAGTTAGCTCCCACTTTCTTCGTTCCGAGGAATAGAAGCTTGACGATGAGTAATACTAACACTCTACTCGTTTTAAGAACCAGCATGTCCCATGCTAACACATGGAAATTGTGGATGTAGCTCCTCTAGGTTTTTCCAGATGGCTAGATAGTGTGACATATGATCACTTGATGGGAATTTGCTTGAACAGATGGTGTGTCCAGATATCTAGCATCGCTGCCCACCTGCCCAGGTATCAACAATTCAACAACATCATAAGGAAGTATAGAGGATACTGGTGCAAAGCCATTTAAACGCTTGAGACAGAACACATGGTTTTTAAGGCTAGGTGAACATCAGATGGATGACAAATCTAACTTATAAGCAATAGCCCCAACATGAGCCAACGTGCGATAGGGGCCAAAGAAACGAAAGGAGAGCCTACAGTGAGAGGGGCGCCAAAGAAGCTTGGACGTACGGTTGGAACTTCAAGAAAACCTAGACACCGACTTGAAAATGTGCTTAGAGCTATGCTTGTCTAACTGCTTCTTCGTGTGGGCTTGAGCATGAAGCAAATGTTGTTTGATCAGATCTTGCATTAGAACGTGTTCTACCAGCCATGTGTTGGTTTCAGGTGCAGCAGAACCAACCAAAATGAGAGAAAGGCTGAAATGATAGGCAGATAGCCATAGAGGACGTCGAAAGTAGATCAAACGAGTACCAAATGGAAGCTAGAATTGTACCATAGCTCCACAAAAAGAGAGGCAGTGGACCCACTTGGAGGGGCATGCGCATATAGCGAAGCTATGTGTCACGTGGTCGAAACCGTGGCAAGCATGTTGTTCGAGTCGGTGTCAGAGTACGGGGTCTCCGGTGGCTCGGGTGGACTCAGGAACACAAGAATCACGTAGAGAAGACGCAACGGTTTATCCTGGTTCGGGCCAATTCGGTTCCTACGTCCAGCAGCTTATGATCCTTATACTCAAGAGCACCCAAAATCTAGGGGTTATAGCAGAGTGTAAAGAAAGAAAGTTTGGTAGGGGGGTTAGCTCAGTGCTAATCCTAAGGTCCCCTCGTCGAAGAGGAAGGAGACGGCGGGATACGGTGGAGGAGGGGCTCTCGGTGCCCTTCTCTGGGTTGCCTTGCTCTCGGAGCAAAGCGGAGGCAGATGGAATGGAGTGTCTGATGATCGAATCGGGATCCTCTCCCCTCTAGGTCTGATCTTATCCCTTATATAATGAGATAGGTCGGGTACAAGGTGGTTTGGGGGTTCTAGTATATGGTCTACCTACCGGATTCTAGGAGGGGCTTGCAGCAGTGCGCCGTGGACCGTCGAGGTGTCTTGGAGCCGAAGAAGCCGGGCATCGTTCGGCTACTCTGTTCTGACACTCTACGTGTTAGAGGGTGTCGGCTTGGACCGGCCTCCCCGGGTGAGACCTTTCTGGAGTCTTCTTGGTGGCGAAGGAGGTCGGCTCCAAGGGCTGACGTGCGGGCCCAGAAGCTTTGTCTTCTTATGTCACGCCCCGGACGTGACCCTATCGGAGGAGCAGTTGGCAGGGGCACACCTAGGGGCGGCGCCAGGGAGCCCCTAGGCATCGGTAGCCTGGGGCTTGTCTTCTTGTGCCCGGGCCTTGGCTGGCATCATTAGCTGGGTAGGAGCCAAGGGCTGGGCCCGGAGGTGCCATAGATCGGGAGCCCAAGGCTCAGGAAAGCCCTAAGCCCCAGACGAAAGCTGCGGTCAAGTCAGGCTCGGCCGGGTCTCTTTGCCAGAGGGTGCACGCAAGCGTGCCCGATGGGCATAGCCCCTGAGCCCCCGGGCAATCCTGAAGGGGTCGGTCAGGGGGTCTTCTTCGTTCGAGAACCATTGGACCCAAGGCTTAACATACCTATATGTTAGGATCTCGTCAGGAGCTCTCGAGCTCTTCGTGTCCTCACCTGGCTTGATGGCGATGAAGGGCTAAATTTGATCTTCTAGTGACCGAACCCTCCTTGGTGGGGACGGCTTCCACTGGCGAGAGTGTTATGCCCCGCTTGGGGTCTTCTTCTCCAGTGTGATGGATGGTGCTCGGTTGTCGATGCTGAGCGAAGATTATGCTGATCCCTTTGTAAGTCCATGTCGCATGGGTCTTCGACTTGAGCGAGAGCTCGATGGACTCGTCTGGGAGTCATTGACTGTAGGCCCAGGGGCGCCCTCCTTTCTGACCGGAGCCTACCGTGGGTCGGGTGATCAAGAGCGCTAGGCTCTGGCTCAGGGCCATCTGATCACCCGGAGCTCCACGCCCTTCTGAGGGCTATGATAATAGGTCCCGATCCTCTCAAGTTGGCCTTCTAGGGCTGACCCTCTACAGCCATAGATTAGGGAAGTGGGAGCACGCTGAGGCTTGGATGGAGGCCCTTGTTGGGCCTACTGCTCAGTGGATCCTGACCCAACTCCGGGGAGTTGGTTGGTTTTTGGGGGATGCGTCACCTGAGCGCCAGTTGATCGGGGGGTCAGGCTGCTCTATCTGGGGAGCTGGCACAGCCCCCGAGGCCATTGTGACCTCGAAGTCTTCTTGCGCTCTGTCAAGCCTTCAGATCAGGGTTGATGTTCCCTCGATGGGCTGGGCTACCACGACAATAGCCTCATTGGCCAAGATTGTGGCACCCGTGCTACTAGCGGGTAAGCCTGTGAGAACCCCAAGTTTACGGTCGTTCCGTGCCTTGGTCATGTCCCCTAGGGGGGAGATTCTTGGCTTCTCGACCAAGCCACTTGTATAGTTCCCGAGCCCGTCTATAGGTGCTCGAGGGCTCGCTGCCTCCCTCGTTGAGTCACCACTAGTAGCTTGAGGCTGATACTCGGACTTCACTCATCCGACGATCGAGATGCCTCTGAGCATCCTAGCTACAGCTGCATGGGCTCATCTCCTGAGCGTCCCTCGCACTTCAAAATCCTTCCTGGGGCAACCTTGAAGCTCAGGGGAGCCGGCCTTGAACCCCGGGTGGTGCCCCCTTCTGGGGGGACGTCACTTCCGCCCCACTGAGGGGTAGGCTGCTACTAGGGGATTAGTGGTACGATTAACGAAAGACAAGAAGGAAAAAGCTATGGATAGAATTGACGTAGTTGTTTGATGTTCTAGGTGTTGTCGTACTCATGCCTCGACATGGTACTGATCTTGTAGGCGCCCGGGCAGATCACCCATGAGACACAGAAGGGTCCTTCCCAAGGTGGAGACAGCTTGTGGCCCTTCTTGGATGGGGTGGCTCTCTGGAGGACAAGATCACCTACAACAAAGGAACGCTCACGTGCCCGTCTGGCGTGATAGCGACAAAGTCCTTGCTGGTAACCGGCAGACCGCACCACGGTGGTGTTTCGCTCTTCTTCGAGCATGTCGATGTCTGCCTGTCGATGTTCCTCTACTCACTGCTCGTCGTAGAAGTGGGCGTGCAGAGCATCGAAGTCGAGGTCGGAGGGGATGACCACCTCAGCCTCATAGATGAGGAAGAAGGGGTGTAGGCTCCAAAGCAGGGAGGGGAGTTCATCCACCCACCATCCAACGTGGATCTTGAGCTCGTTGTAGATGTGAGTTTTGATCCCCTGGTGGATTAGCCCATTGGCGCGCTCGACTTGACCGTTGGACTCGAGGTGATAGACTAGAGCCCAATCAACTGAATTCACCAGGAATCATAGAAGTCCAAGAACTTGTGACCTGTAAACTAGGTGCCATTGTCAGTAATAATGTGATTAGGGACTCTAAACCTATGGATGATGTCTTGGATAAACTCGGCTGCCCACATTGACTTGAGGTTGGCGATGGGCTAGACTTCGATCCACTTGGTGAAGTTGACGATGGCGACCAAGAGGTGATCGAAGCCCCCGAGTGCCTTCTTGAACTCCTTGACCATGTCGAGGCACTAGACCATGAATGCCTAGGTGATGGGAATAGTCTAGAGCACCTGGGCTGGTAGGTGGCTCTGCTTGGCGCAGTACTAGCATCCCTTGCACATCTTGATGAGGTCTCGAGTGTCGACGAGGGCAGTTGGCCAGTAGAAGCCATGTCTAAAAGCCTTCCCTATGAGGGCGCACAGCCACACGTGGTGGGAGCAGATGCCACCGTGGATGTCGAGGAGTAGTTCCCTCCCTTCCTCTAGGGTGACACACCGTAGGAGCACCTCAGAGGTGCTCTAGCGATATAGCTGTCCACGGAGGACTCGATAGCTCTTGGCTCACCGGACCAGCCTGCGAGTGTCAGCGATGTCGTTGAGGAGGATCCCCT